CTAGTTGGCCGTGGACCTGTCAACAGAAGTATAACCTACGTTTTTCATTGTCAAATTGTGGTCAGTTCGAGAAGATTATCTTTTAGTTTTTTACTTTGTGGCATTCAAATATAACAATTCCAATTCAACAAAAATGGTTTTTACTAATGAGGAATACGCTGATATGCTTTAGTTTATCGCGAAATGAGGTATAACGCTCGAACAGTAGAACGTAGATACCCTGAAAAATGTTCCAATCGTGATCCCACACACTTTACATTTACAGCTCTACTACATGTAACAGCAGCACATGAAGATGATTTTAATGGAAGTTGAGAAAAATCAAGAAATTTGCTTTTCGACGACTATCTGCATTTGTATCACACAATTTTAAAATCTTCCGTAGGAAATATCTTGCACAACGAAAATTTATATCCTTCTCATTTTACAAAGATACAAGCACTGCTGCAAGAAGATTTGCCTGCTGATAAAAAATTGCTAGATGGTTACAAAATCAGAAAAATCAAAATGAAGATTTTGTCATAGATTTTGTTTTGTTTTGCGACATAGCTACATTCATACCAGACTTTCTTGATAATAACTACGAAGACAAATGGATTGGAAGAGGCGGTCCAGTTGCTTGGCCAGCAAGGTCGCCTGGAATTGTTTGGAGGTACATAAAAGCATTTGTTTATTCCGTTCCGATACAAAATCGTACTCTGGCTAAAGCGGCCCTAGACGATCAATATTATTGTCAATATATTGGACAATAATTTATATTGTATTGTGTAATATATTGTGTCAATCAACATGACTTTGATTTTTATTGAGCAATATTGTAAATATTGCGGCGTCTGTGAGTAATATTGCGCAATATTGGTTCAGTTTCGTTTTAACACTCTTTTGTAAACATCGCGGTACAGTAAAAAATATGTCTGCAAAGGAAAATGGGAAGAAAGATAGTTTTTTTGTATAGTGCATCGGTCGTTACCGGCTTTGTGGAATGTCAAGAGTAAAGATTATAGTGCTGAAATTTAAAAAAAAATGAACAGTACGATCAATTGCTCCAAAAATGCAGAGAATATTATCTAGATGCTGATAATTTGCAGTTAGTGAAAAAATTCAATTCGTTGCGCACCAACTTTAGAAAGGAATTACATCGTAATAAGGGACTCTGAAAAAGCGGTGTAAGGGGAGACTATGTAATTCAACCAACATTATGGTATTTTAGCGAAATGCAGTTTCTCGTGGGTCAGAACAATCCTAGTGCTTCAAAAAGTACTGTACAGGGAGGGTATAATGATAAGGAAAAAGCAGATAATCATATAAACAATGTGGACAGTGATAATTTAAATACTATTTCAACAAGTTTTGACAATCGCTTGGTTCTCTAATTCTTAAATCATTTAATAAATTTTCATGAGTGTACTTATTTCTTTTTTTGAACCATTCTTTCATCCACCTGCCCTTATTTTTTTTCGTCCCTTGTGAAGTTACAACTAATGCGATAGCCACACAACTCGCCGTTTTTTTATTCCACATGTTGATAGCGCAAGTTTCAGTTGGGAACTAATTTATTGTACAATAATATTGACGCTAATATTGACTGTCTAGGGGCCGCTTTACGATACAAGATGCTTGCAACGAATTTAGAAATATCTTTGGAATTTTTGCAAGAATTCTGATTTCTCTAAGCAAAAGTGCAAATGTATGCATAGACTAATGGTCATCATATCAAGCATCTTTTTTAACTATCTACATGTACTTACTTATTTATGTACTTTTGATACTTGTTCTTTTGTGTTAGTTTCGTTCCATCGTAATAAATACTTTGTTTTTAAAACCCTTAAAATAAAATTTTGTTACAATTTGATTTTTTCCTTTTTTCCCAAACTTTTTTTACAAATTGTGAGCTGCATTTACTGAAACAATAGATAATATATAAAATTAATTTAGGTACCTATTAATTTAACTTTCATGAAGAAAAAACAAAAATGTTAAATCAATTTTTCTAGAAAACGGTGTATCTTACCGACTAAGAGTACCTTTTAGTACTAGAATACCTGAAAATTTAATAATCTAGTATAACGAATGCTTAAAAGTTAACAACAAAAAAGTTATGCGTTAAAATAACCATTGGCTTACCCGAACGGACGTCTATGACCGGTACTAGAAATTCGTAATTGATGGAATCTATTAAACTCTAGATGAAAAATAATCTTACCAGTTTTCGTTTTTTTTTTAACTAGAATCGTTCTGGAGGAATTAAAAAAATCTAATTACAAGGCGCCATCTACAAAGAGCTCTAGCTCCGTTAGGAAGCATTTTCGGACTAGGTGAATTGGGTTAAATTGTCTTAGGAAAAAAATTATCAGAGGAATCTCGGTCTTCGTTTGTCAGTAGAGTTTCTGGACACCTTGTATACTATTTTTTGGTATTCATTATATTGGTTTTTTGCTTTTCTTTTCTGTTAGTTTTATGATACATGCTTTACTCTTGTTTAAAACTGTTTTTTTTTCTGTGCTTTTTTTATACGGTCCTCCTATTCTTCTGGTTCTGTTTTTCGTTTTGTCCACTTAAGCTTGGCATTTAACCCTTCTTCATGTTTATTTATTGCACTCTGTCTTTTAGTATTGTTATATTGAAATGCTTTTTATTTCAAATAGGTAAAGAAATAATAATAAGACTTACTCACAATCAATTTAATTTAACAATCTGACGACCGGTTTCGCTTTCTACAATTTGCAAAGCATCTTCAGGTCCAGATACAAAGTTAAACTAATGCTGCAATAAAATAAACCCAATTAGGGTGGTGTCTAATAAAGATAAAATAAACAAATAAGTTAGTTCATACAAATTATAGTAATTATGCCAATATTAATTATTGGCATAATGTAAATTGGCTAATACTATAATTTGTATGAACTAACTTATTTGTTTATTTTATCTTTATTAGACACCACCCTAATTGGGTTTATTTTATTGCAGCATTAGTTTAACTTTGTATCTAGACCTGAAGATGCTTTGCAAATTGTAGAAAGCGAAACCGGTCGTCAGATTGTTAAATTAAATTGATTGTGAGTAAGTCTTATTATTATTTCTTTACCTATTTGATATGGACTCAACAAGAACACATTCATCTTTTATTCGTTTAATCCTTGGTCTGATTTTTGGACATGAAATTTCTAAGGCCTTGGAGAACACAGATCGCATGCAATACTTCTACCTTTCTTCTTCTTCTTCTTAGAGTGCCGTCTCCCTACGGAGGTTGGCAATCATAATGGCTATTTTTATTTTAGAACTTGCTGCTCTAAACAAATCAATCGATCTACATTTATACCAATTACGTAGATTCTTTAACCATGAGTTCTGCCTTCGGCCACCAGATCTTCTTCCTTGAATCTTTCCCTGTATTATGAGTCTCAAAATTTCATATTTTGGTCCCCTCATCACGTGGCCTAGGTATTCCAGTTTTCTGGTTTGTATAGTGGTGATTAGTTCTGTTTCTTTACCAACCCTCTACAGTACTTCTTTATGTGTAATTCTATCAGTCCATGATATTTTCAATACTCTGCGGTATAACCAGAGTTCGAAGGCCTCGATTCTTTTTAAATTACATTTTTTTAATGTCCAAGTCTCAGCTCCATATAATAATATTGAAAATATATAACAGCGAATGGTACATAGTCTGATCTCCAAGTTTAGATTTTTTACGTTAGGAGTGGCTTCATTCGTATAAATGCTGATCTGGCAATCTCTATTCGCCTGCTTATTTCTACAGTATGATCATTGGATTCATTGATCAAAGTTCCCAAGTACTGATATTTTTCTACTTGTTCTATCACGTTACTATTGATTGTCAATAGGTGATATATATTTTGTGGTCTTTTTGTAATTAACATGTACTTCGTTTTTTTAGCGTTTATAGTAATTCCCATCTCAACACTATTCATACTTAAGCTTTCGATAAGACGTTGTAGATCCTCTATACTCGTTGCTATGATCACAGTGTCGTCTGCATATCTTAAGTTGTTAATTAATTTTCCGTTAACGGTGACTCCCGCTTCGATATTATTGAGCGTGTTTTGGAAAATTTCTTCAGAATATAAGTTAAACAAAAGTGGTGATAAAACACATCCCTGTATAACTCCTCTATAGATCCTCATTTCTTCTGAGTGTTGCCCATCAATTTGAACTATGGCACTTTGGTTTCAATATAATGTTTGCACTATATTTATGATTTTACTGTCAATGCGCTTGTTCATAAGTATTGATATTAGTTTTTCATGTCTTACTTTATCGAAAGCTTTTTCGTAGTCAACGAAGCACAAGTGTAGATTAACATTTACATCCCGACATCGCTGAATCAATATGTTGGTGGCAAATAGTCGTCCTTCTCGAGTACCCATTCCATTTCGGAACCCGAACTGCGTCTCGCTAATATCCTCCTCTAGCCTTTCGTATATTCTCTTATGTATTATTTTTAGCAGAACTTTTAGAGTATGACTCATGAGGCTCAGTGTTCGATAATCAGAGCACTCTTTTGCTGCTTATTTTTTTAGGGATGGTTATAAACGCTGACTTCAGTCACACTTGTGGTATTATTCCCGTATTGTACACCGTGTTGAATAAATCTGCCAATACTTTCAAGTTATCCCCTTTCACTAGTTTTAACAGTTCTACTGGTATTTCATCTAATCCAGCTGCCTTATTGTCTTAAGAGTTTTTGATAGCATATTTGATTTCATCTATCGTGATCTTCTGTCTCTCTAAAGGATTTAATTCTTGTATTTTCTGCATTTCAACTCTTTCATCTTGAAAAAGTTCTCTAACCTTTCACGCTTATAATCAACAAGAAATTTTTAGAATCCACTTTGTATAATTTTTTTTCGTGTCCAAATCGGTGTGAACTTTATAATGAACTCCTTGAAGCGAGAAAATTTAGACCAAAATTATTATTTAAAATTTAAAAATTTTGTTTTTAATTTCTCGCCCCAACTAATTTTATTAAATGTTGATAGAAATGATTCTGATGTGATTATGGGACAAAAAGTGACAGGTATGGAGTCTAAATACATTACGCCGGAAGAGTCAAGGCAATATTTAAGAGATATATGGAGACAAGAAAAAGAATTTCTGCAACAACTTGTATCTGTACTCTCAAATGTCGACTGTGAACACCCAACTGATGCATTTTATTTTGAAGTGATTCCTGTTCCACCACCAAATGTCAGACCTGTAAGTACACAAATTTGTATATTATATTAACAATCAGCTGATACTCAATTCCTAATACATCAAAAATGAAAAGTTGCTTTCAAAAGAATTTTTACTTGTATAGAAAAAATATGCTAGGTGTTATTACAATATCCTATGTTATTTTTAGTTAGTAAATTAAAAATTAAGTGTCAAAGTAGAAACTGTGTATGGAAGTAATTTTTTATAGTCCTAGATGCCCTTCTCCTAAACAGCATAATATTTCAACCAATGATATTCATCCATTCAACCGTCTATTTTTTATCAGTGTTTTTTTATAGATTATTCTTAGCGTTTTAATTTCCAAGGCTTTTATTTCACTGCAGATGTTGCTGTTGAAGTTTTGGAGTTAATACCGTACCAATTGATTTTGTTCTAAACACATAGATTTTGTTCTAAATGTTGTCTCTCAATTTTCCATAAATTCTTATTGTTTTTTTTTCTTACTAGATCTTTGTTATACAAAGATCTAGTGAAATTCTATTGCCAATTTTTTCTCTCCACAGAAAATAAACTTTAAACCTGCTTTGGGTTGGAACATGAAGATATGAAAATTCAACCTATAGATCTTGCAAGCTGCATAATATGCACCTTGCAAGAAGATACAAGAATGTATTCAAACCCAAAAAACGCAATGAAGATTTTGTCCAGGAAATCATAGAATTAGATAGCACTGATATTTTAGATGCCTTTACAGACCTAGATTCTTTAAACAACGCCGATGTAACTATTGAAGAGGCTAACTACAAAAACAATCTAAGACGGGATAATGTTTTAAATATCGATGAAGAGAAACTAGAAATAACTAACAGTACAAACTTTAACGATGTTTCTAAAGACATCAATGCAAATAAAATAAGAAACTCAACTAGTTTTGAAAACAATATCGATATAAATGCCGCGTAAAAAGAAAAATTCCGGGTTAAATGATGACTCATTAGAAAAAGAGACTAGCTCAGAAGCGGAAAAAAATGTTCCTGTCGATAATGCTATTAAAAAGCGCAAAAGGAAGAAAAACAAATTAAGCGACAGTCAAGACTGGATGTACAATACCAATACCATTCAAGAAGAAGAGACAAGAAGGAACATCATATAAGGGAAGAAAGGATAATTAATTTGTAGTGCAGAAACATGAAAGTAAATTAAAAATTAGGAGTTCGTGTGAAGAAAGAACGTCGAAAAAATCACTTTCAAATGTTATAGATTAAGCGAAGAAGAAACACAGCAGATATTTCAAAAGTTCTGGAGCTTTACATGGGAAGAAAAAAAAGTATTTGTAAGTGAAAGAGAGATTGCCTCAAGTATCAAAAGAGCCAGAAACCGAAAATCTGAGGGGAGAAAATGCTCTTTTTCTTTCTTTCTAGATAAGAAAAAGGAAAGAGTAAGGGTGTGCAAAACCATGTTTTTCAACACGCTTGGTGTGTCTATGAGAACTATTACTCATTGGTTATATGAAAGCCTCAATTCACCAGAAACCAAAAAAGTGATCGAGTAGAAACCACAAAAAGTAATGACTTCGTCAATAAGAAACAGTTAAAAAATGAAACAGAAACAAATAGTCAAAGAAATCTTCTTTCAAACTATATATAGAGCCACGTTCAAAAATGTTTAGTTAACAGATAGAAAAACAGAACCGGCTGGATTTACCCCATTAAAATATATTTTTGATGAGTTGAATTTGTCTTTATTCGGTCCCAAAAAAGACGAATGTGATATATGTGTAGGATATCGAACACAAAACGTTTCAGAGTTAGTTTATTAAAAACACATAATTAAAAAAGAGGGAGGTGCGTAATGAAAAAGACTCTAAAGTCACTAAATCAAGTTTTCAGTATGGATCTTAAATCTGTTCTATTGTGCCCACAGTCAAACGTGTCTGCGCTTACAATTATACAAACTAAAATGCTTTACAATTTTACTATTTTTGATATTCATACAAAGGAAGGTTACTGTTTTTTATGGCACGAGGGAGAAGGAGAGTTAAAGGCGAACTGTTTTGCGTCGATTATTTGCACTTTTTTATCTACAAATGTCTTACCAAACATGGATCCAAACCACAAATTTACTATCCTTTACAGTGACAGTTGTGGTACACAGAATCGCAATTCCTCTTTATCGAATGCCCTTTTGAAATTATCAATGGAAAATAATGTTTGTATTATTCAAAAATACTTACACAAATGGAATGCATTCGCAATTGAATGGAAGATTTCGGGAAGGGTAATAAATGTACCAACCGACTATGTTAATTTGATAAAAAATTCGAGAAAAAACCGAAGACCTTATGACGTACAATATTTAAACAATGCCATTTTAAAGATTTTTGTAAAATCAACTTGGTCAATTCAATTCGTCCTGGACGTAAAACAGGTGATCCTACCGTGCAAAATAAAGCATTAAAATAAAATTCAGACAGATCCATAGAATATAAGATTAAGCATTCTGATGAGTATCAGATCCTTCCGTCAGATTCGATAAGAAATTCTTAATTATTGTTCCCATGGAAAAACTGCCCAAACTTTACCAAGGTAAATAAAAATTAAACGGGAGAAATTTGTTTTCTTTAATCTGAAAATCTTCAATCTCTAAAAAGTACCATGGAACCAAATTACCATCCTTTCTATGATAGTCTTGAACATGATTAATCCTTATGTTTGTGCGTAATTTTTATTTTAAGTTAATATATATTTATAATGTCTAGCGTTTTGTTCTTTTTTTAGCGACTAATAAATTTTTTTTAATAAAATAATAGTTTCCTTTTTAAATGAAATTTGCTATAAATGAAAGTCCAAATATTTAACGAAATTTTGTGTGATATTAACCAAGTCCGTTCAATTATCCAAACTAAAAGTAAACAAGTAAATCTCTTTTAACATTCCTGAAAATTATGTTTCAAAACTAACATGAATCCATAAAAACTCATATTCCATTCACCTCCTATAAAATTTACATTTTGGTACTTACACAATTTTCATATGATGCCGACGATATGTTAGTCTAGTCACAGAATACACCACAAGAAGCGAAACGAAGGCACAGACAAATAATAAACAATCAGAATGCCCACTCTCAGATGACGCCTTTGAAGTTTGTCAGCACGTGAACGACATGTTTTAGACGAAAACATAGACTCGAATCTTTATTTTTATTTCTTTTTTTATTTGTAAGATGTATACACTATGAATTTCTGATGGCGTCTCTCAATAACTAAAATATAATAAAGGTATTATATAGTATTTATTAACATAGTGTGTACATTAGCTTAGCTGGTATTATTATTATTATATTAATCATGTTTCACTAAATTGACATATTTAAACTGTGTAACAAAACTTATGTTGATGGAGACTGGCTGAATGACAATTAATGTTAAATTTGCTCGTGTTTGCTCTAAGCACTTTGTTGAAAGTGATTGAAGTGATGAATCGGTCATTCAGGTTGGCAAAATATAATATCATTCGCAGAAACGAAGATTTAACAAAATTTTAAACGTACATTTGGCTTCATTTAGAGATGGTTCTCCAATGAATACAAACAAAACACTAACCAGTTGCAAAGTTTTTGTGTCCTTTGTTTCTGTTTTTTTTTTAAGTTAGTTCTAAATAATGAGTAAACTTAAGTACATATATAATAACATCTTTAATACTACATATTGAGTTAGAACTGATGAAGCTTTAGAAGTATAAAGCGAAATGTCTTCTATAAACTTATGAAGTAGTTGACTTCTGTTTTTTATTTTGCCAACCTGAACGACCGATTAACCTCTGAATTCACTAGTTGAATACTTTATTAATATATATATATATATATATATATATATATATATATATATATATATATATATATATATATAGTTGGGAGATTAAATAATTATAACCATATTTTAGCATATCCTGAAGAAGCGAATAAATTTTGTGAAAGCTAAATAAAAGAACAAAGAGTTTTACTTATTCTGCCCTATTAATGACTGCAACCTCAAAAGAAATAGTTTACCTAACGTGTCAGTCAATAATACCTAACTACTATATATAAAATATATATTGTATGAAAATCACATTCCATAGTTTGCAATTTGTGGCATTCGGCATGGCTCCCTCCATCAAACTTCACTCTTATGGGAAAATTGTTATTTTTTACAATATACTAATTTAAATACTTAAGCTTAAATTCACGTAGTAAATAAAACATCTAGTAAATTATATTAGAATTTCAACAGTTCGTTTCATCCGCAAGCATGAATACATTTTGAAAATTTAGCACAAGGTGACGTCATGCGCGTGAGTGTACGAGTTTAGTGCGTGGCAATATCATATCTGGTATCCTTATATCATGTGTATGTAGTATGTAGTGAACTGGAACATATTTTTCGTATTTATAATGGCGACACATTAAAAATAACAAAAAATTATTTAAAAAACTTAATAGAAGCTGCAAAATATGTAAATGTTAGCGAAGATGTAAAATTACTTTTTTTTAGATGTAAAATGTATTTTAAAATACGAATTCTAAATCAAAATATTAAAGATAATTACAATACCGCAAAAGAAAAAGCACAAAGATTGTAAAATAAATGTCTAAATGATATTCATAAAGTCTCAAGTATGACCCGCTTTTCCTTTATGGTCAAATTCTTTACATTTTGCCGGCTTTTTATATTTAATTTATGTTTTGTAGCAATATTTATTTTATTTGTAATACACACAATCAAATCGTAGATTCATATATTTCTTTAATTAATTTTACAAATTACTTATTAATTTTCAAAACACGTTTTCACAGAAAGTAACTAGTTATGACTTCTTAGTGCAAGATATGGCATCGAGGTATACTTACCGTTAACAGTTTAAGTTTTGAAGTTGTTCATTACAGTAATGGAACAACGTTGCCATATGATGCATCGTTAAAATATGATACATACAAGTCCCTGGCTTTGTCTCGCTATGACGACATGCGCAAAGTCAATTAAAATTAGAACAGCAAGTGAGCATATCTTGTTGTTATAGTATCATCATGGCTGATTCTGTTGCGCGAACGAGATACGCGTATTTATTTTTTTAAGCAGAGTGGACATTCTGATTGTTTATTATTCTGTGACGAAGGATTTTTCGCAATTCAAACAAACTGAAGCTTGTTTACGCATTGAGAAGTGTTGTTTTGTTTATGTTGTTTAATAGTTAAAAAAGAATAATACTATTATACATATTTTTTAATATACATATACATATTTTAATACCTCAAAAAAGTATAATAATTTAAAAAATATATAATAGTAAAAAAATAATAATACTGTTATACATATTTTGTACATACATATACACATTTTAATACTTTAAAACCCGATAAAAGGTAATAGAAATCGACTGATTTTCAGTTGTATTTTGAAATTAATTCTCAAATTTAATCACTTTTTATCGATTTTTTAACATACCTACTAAAATACTTTTAGTACGTTAATTTGTTTGTTTAAAAAACTGGATAATTTTCACTTAATACCTTTTTATTTATCAGTACAGAATTGATCTATTGGTTATATTAAATTTTACAGAAAAAAATACAATTCATATAAAATAGATCTACTTAAAAATCATTAGTTTTAATAATTACTTTGTTTCTCAGTGTAACTATAACTTTACTACTGTTTTGAACGACTTCCTCATTACTTTTCTTAGTGTACTAATTAGTTTAACTGCCATTCTCCCTCCGAAATTTCTGCCCTACGAACATCAAAGGTACCGACAAAGATTCCGCTTCTTGTTGAGTGGTGTATTCTGTGGTCTAGTCCTGTCAGTAGCTTTGACTAGTTCACTGCGACGCTATTTAGTGAGTTTGCTAATTAAGTTGTGGCAACATAATATGTATATAGGACAAATAAATTAAAGATTTTACAATAAATATATTTTTATTTGCTATTTTTCCTTTTTATTTTTAGGTTAACTTGGTGAATGGTAGAGTATTAGAGAATAAACAATCGACTAGTTACAAAAATATCGTACAAAACGTTATTTTTTTAAAAACTATAATACAAGTAGTACAAAGTAAGAACGATATTAATGTCTTGTCATCTGTGGAAGCTAAGGTAGGACATTTTTGTATCTTACAACTTAACATTGTGGTTTAATATTTATGATATACAGGGTGGCGAATCGTCAAGGGCCATAGGAAATTCAATGGGAAATTCTAAATTGTTGAATTCCTGCTTACCTAATTATTTTACATCAAAATTCATAAGAAACTATTTGTAAAGGACTGAAATATGTATTAAAAACAAATGTTAAAATTGTTCTACGAATTAAATGTATTCCAAAATTTTGTAAAAATATAATACATTTTTCAGGCCACCCCTTAAAGTCAGGCCACACGAGGTACAAGAATGTGTATGACATGTTGCGTTTGGTCGTATTTATGTTTCTGATATTTGACAATATTTGAATTGCCAAAATTTTAATTTTGTGATTTATTGTTTAAAAAACAACATAGTTGATTAAAAAATGTATTCAGTTGAGGAGAAAGTAGCAATAATAAAAATGTTTTATTCAGGCAATAGTGCGCGAATTGTCAGTTCTTTATTTAGCGTAAGATATCCCAATAGACCAATTCCAAGTCATTCAACAATTCAAAGGATTTTACAAAATTTTGAAAATACTGGGACCGTGATTTCTAATTGTACCTGTACAAACAATATTGCTGAGGTACCAAAAAATTTAGAAAATCAAATGAAATAAATATAACAGCAGTTGTAGAAAATCCTAGAATAAGTTCTCGGACCATTGCAGACCAGTTTAATATTCATAACTCTACGGCCTTAAAAATTTTGAAAAGGAATAAATTCCGTTCATATAAATTTCAATGTCATCAAGAACTAAGAGAAGGAGCTGCTGAGCGACGAGCGGAATTTTGTTATGAAATGTTAGAGAGGGCTAATGCAGACAGAAAATTTTTAAAAAACATTTTGTTTAGTGATGAATGTACATTTACATTAAATAATGAACCAAATGTTCAAAATTATAGGATTTGGTCGACAAAAAAGCCTGAGGATATTATTGAAAGCCATACCCAATATCGTCGAAAAATAAATGTCTGGTTAGGAATATTTAGACACAATATTATTGGACCATTTTTCTATGAGGAAAATTTAAATTCAAAAAAGTTTTTAGACTTGCTACAAGAAGAAATTTTACCCAGACTTGCAGAAATAGTTCCAGATGAAGAAGAAATTTGGTTTCAAATGGATGGGTGCCCTGCGCACAATAACTGGGAGGTTAAGGAATTCCTTAAAAACAGCTTTAATAATTGTTTGATTGGACCTGACTGTAATATTAAGTGGCCCCCGAGATCGGGAGATCTAGCTCGAAACGATTATTTTATCTGGGGCATTTAAAATCAAAAATCTATTCTGACCAAAAATTTACAGATATTGAAGCATTAAAAATGCGAATTATTGAAGAGTGTGCAAAAATAACGCCACGCATTCTGGCTAATGTTAGACGAGAATTTTACAATCGAGTGGGATACTGCTTAGTACAAAATGGCTTATTGTTTGAACATTTGTTATAGTTTTATGTTTAGAAATTATCATAAATTATTATTAGGAAGGATCACAGTAAAACTATATTAAAATTCTTTGAATTGTTGTATAACCTGGAATTGAATTGGAGTGTATTATGATATCTTGTGTTAAATAAAGATCTGGCAGTGCTCGCACTATTGCCTGAATACAAATTATTGCGATTTTTCGTGAACTGAATACATTTCATCAATTTTATTACTTTGTAAACAATATAATTTATTGTTTACAAAGTACTATTTATTGTTCACTAGTAGTAGTAGTAGTATTTGTGAAAATTTGCGTATTTTAGTATTTGTGTATAATTTAATCAAAAAATAAAAATATTGACAATTCAAATATTGTCAAATATCAGAATCATCAATATGACCAAACGCAACATGTCATACACATTCTTGTACCTCGTGTGGCCTGACTTTAAGGGGTGACCTGAAAAATGTATTATATTTTTACAAAATTTTGGAATACATTTAATTCGTAGAACAATTTTAACATTTGTTTTTAATACATATTTCAGTCCTCTACAAATAGTTTCTTATGACTTTTAATGCAAAATAATTAGGGAAGCAGGAATTCGACAATTTAGAGTTTCCCATTGAATTTCCTATGGCCCGTTTGGCGATTCACCACCCGGTATGTAAGTTAGCTTACACGTGCTTCTGATAATCAACTTAACCTTTCTTGCTATGATATTGTTTAAAAATTGTATTATTAGAGTATATAAGTATAGCAAATATGTTAAAAGCATTCTATTGTTCGTTTAAAATTAAAATGAGTATATTTGAATTACGCTTCCAGCTGACTTGGTTTTGATTTGTTGAGACATAGCCAATTTTACCAAGACAAAGTTCAGAAAATGAAAACTCAATTCTCATTTTTCATTCCTATTCGAAAAGCCAACGAGTCAACACCTCGGCTTATTCTAATAGTATTTGTAATAAAAAACTTGTCAGTTAATGTGATTTGTTATCAAGTAATTAATAAAAGTGAATAGTTTTTTGTGAAACAACTTGGTATGTACTTTTGTAGAGAACATTATATTTGATACAAACACACTAATAGGCCAGGCATTGCGCCTAATTTTCATTAAATATTTTGGCATCCAGAATATTTAAAAATGCTTCTTCAACCCACCGCTCCAAGCTACGCAGCTGTTACCACATCAAATACAACAAAACCTACACCGGCTACATCATATCCTAGCAGAAAGCAAGCGATAGTTTTAAATGCTCTTCCGGATACAGCTCTCTTCGATTACATTAAGGCGATCGGTGAAATCGTAACACCAAAACGTATTACCCACGCTTCCCGCATATCCAACCAACGCATTTGCATCTTTCTTGCTTCTATTTCTGACGTCGATATTCTTCTCAAAAACAATCCCTCCGTTTCCGTTAAAAATGAAATCGTCCACATCCGCAGACTCATTTCCCCAACTAAAAGATTGTTAATATCTAATGTATGTCCATCGATTCCAAATCAACTCATCGAGCAGGCATTAAAAAACGAACTTGGTCTGCAACTAGCTTCACCTGTATCTCAGATTCGTACTGGCTCACCCGAAGAAGATTATTCCCATATATTAAGTTTTCGACGGTCTATCTACGTAATACCAGATAAAGAAAATTTCGAAATACAAACCTCCGTATTAATACATTTTGAAAACACTTCCTTCCGAATCTTCGTTACATCAGACAAACTAGAATGTTTTCTTTGCCAAAAAGCCGGACATACGGCTGAAACCTGCCAAAACCCACCGGATACCACTACCGACCCCCGTTTCGCCCACGTAACTAATGAATCCACCAACAATAACCCCACCGCACCTTCTGGCACCTCTCACACTTCTGACCCAAATTCTCCCTCTGACAATTTATCTAACATCACACCCCTACCTTTAAATCAACCTCAACCTACACCTCCTACTATCGCCCTGCTCAAAAGAGCCCATTCAACTGACTCAAGCCTCGATTCTCCCCCTGTAATTGCCAGTTCAGATCCCACTACTCACAGTCCAATCGATCCACATTCCATCCATGACAACTCCTTTCGTACCCCCAAATCAGCCCCTAAAAAAAAATCGAAAACCAAAGATACAGAACCATCAGCCACCATCAGCCCGTCTGCCCGCTCAATCATAGAAAATCTTATAGGAGCAAACCCATCATCCTTTTCAATTAACTCGCTACAACTAATTGCTTTCTTGGAAAATTCTTTCGGCTGCCATGACCCCTTAGCTGAAGCATACCAATTTACTACGAACATTAACGCCCTTCTTGATGACCTCAAACAAATCTACCATAATATCTCAGATAGATCACTTAAAAATCGTATAACTCGCATACAAAAAAAAATTAAGGCTACGATGAATCTAAATGATGTTATTGATACTGTTAGTCTTGCATCTGTTAGCTCTAACGACAGTGACCCCTCCTTAGACAAAACCGACCTGCCTTAATTTATCTTTCATATTCACTATAATTCAATGGAATTGCGACGGATATTATCCGCGCTTAGAACGTCTGCAGCTACTGATATCTCTCCACCACCCCACCTACATTTGCTTACAGGAAACTAACTTCACGTCAACTAATCTCCATACACTCAAAGATTTTGAAGGGTATCATTACATCAGATCTGTCTGCTCCAGAGCTAGTGGAGGTGCATCTATATTTGCTTCTAAAGACCATTACTCCACTCTTCTTCCTCTGACTACCAATCTCGAAGCTGTCGCCATCACTACTTACTGCCCTAACAAACTTACCATATGTTCTATATACATCCCTCCTGACTACATTCTAAAGGAAGAAGAACTCCTTGATTTGGTATACCAACTCCCCCAACCCTATATAATTGTAGGAGACTTCAACGCCCACAACACTATGTGGGGATCCTCGCGTACATTTGGACGTGGTAAAGTTGTTGAAAATATTCTTGATTGCACTAGCTCATGTGTCCTCAATACGGGATCATACACCCACTTTAACATTGCTTCAGGTACTTTTTCTGCCATCGATCTAAGCATATGTGATCCCAAATCGGCCCCCAACTTATCCTGGCAAACAGCAGACGACCTTCACGACAGCAACCACTTCCCTATAATTATACGTGACAACACCTATGACCAAGTTTCAGTGAGAAGTTATTGGCGCTTCAACAAGGCTAATTGGCCAGAATTCTCCAAAAAATCTGAATCCCTTATATGCGAATTACCTTACTCTAATAATATTGATGATTCCATAAAACTATTCTCAGATGCCATAATTAAAGCAGCATTAACTCATATTGGCAAAACCACAATTAGTTTCCGACATAAAGTTGTACCTTGGTGGAACTCTCAATGTGAACTCGCAATTCGACAATCAAAGACTGCTCTCAATCAATACCGCAAACATAAAAGTCCTGAAAATCTAATTAAGTATAAAAAGCTGAAAGCCAAAGCCAAATACGTTGTCAAGCAGAGCAAGAAAACATCCTGGCATAAGTATGTATCGTCTTTGAATGATAACACAAATCCCTCCCAAATGTGGAAAAAAATTCGACAAGTTCAGGGACAAAAAACTAACACAAAAATTAACCATTTAATCTCTAACAGCATTTCTTCTAGCAACAGCCAAATTATTTGCAATACCCTAGCTAATACATTTGAGGAACAATTTCACAACAAACTCAAACCCGTTATTTCATCCTCTACACAAGAACCGCTCTCCTACAACCTCACTTCACAGCACTTACAAGATATCGATAATATTAATTCTCCTTTCTCACTTTCTGAACTTACATCTGCTTTATCTTCATGCAAAAATACTTCCGCCGGCCCTGATGATATCCCTTATATTTTTCTTAAAAACCTACCCAACCGCTGCCTCACTTTCCTGTTAGACATGTATAATTCTATCTGGTCTTCTCAAATATTTCCTACTCAATGGAACACATCCGTAATTATACCTGTCCTAAAACATGGCCAAACACCAAGTTTTCCTCAGTCCTATAGACCGATTTCTCTCACTTGCACCATGTGCAAATTAATGGAGAAGATGATAAATAGGCGTCTTTTATGGTTTATTGAAAAACACCAAATTTTACCTAAAGAACAATCTGGTTTTCGCCGACATCGTTCCACAAGCGATAACCTCGTCCTCCTTCATACCCACATCGCCGAAGCTATTAACAACAGTCAATAAGTGATTGCCTGCATTTTTGATATTGAAGCTGCTTTCGATAAAATACCTAGACAGATTATTCTCGATAAACTATTATTATACGGCCTCAACGGAAATATTTTTAAATTCATCCAGCACTTTCTTAGCTCTAGATCTTTTAGAGTCTCTGTAAATGGTTGCCTATCATCACCCCACATCCAACAAGACGGAGTCCCTCAGGGCTCTGTATTAAGCCCCACATTGTTTATTTTATCGATTAACCATATATGCCACAGTCTTCCCTCCCCAGTCAAATTTACTACATATGCTGATGACCTTGTAATTTATTGCCATGGTGTTGCGACCACTACTACTTGCAAACTTCTCCAAACATCAGTGGACTTACTACAAAATAGATTGACTGCCATCGGCCTGTCCCTCTCATCCACTAAATCACAACTTATTAAATTCACCAGAAAAACACAATCCACTGCCCCTAAAATCTTAGTGAATAACCACCCTCTCCCAGTCGTCGATCACCGCAAAATTCTAGGATTAATATTCGACTCCCGGCTTTCTTGGAAACAACATATTCAGGAAACTAGAGCAGAGTGCCTGAAACGTTTAAATATTATCAAAACACTTTCCCACTACCAATGGGGCGCTAGCGAATGTACACTATTAAAAGTATATAGGTCTCTTATTCGCTCTAAACTCGATTACGGCAGCTTTATATATATGTCAGCATCCAAAACATCCTTACAAACCCTTAATTCAGTACACAATACTGCCATCCGCCTCTGTTTAGGAGCTTTTCGTAGCAGTCCAGCTGAGAGCCTCTACCGTGAAGCCAACGAACCTCCTCTTTGGCTTAGGCGCCAATATCTCCTCCTTTCTTATGCTGCCTCTACTTCAGCTAACCTTTCTAATCCAGTACACACACTGCTGACATTACCGAACTATACTAGTACTCACCCTCCTGCTCCCCGCATACACACTATCGCCCTCCTACTTCCAACTTTAATACCACATATTAATTTATCCCTAACCAACCCTCTCCCGATCCCGCAGAATTCTCCTTGGACCAAAGCTTTACCGAAATTTAATGTGTCACTTACAAAGTTTAGTAAAGCAGAAACCAACCAGGATTTGATTAGGAAATCCTTACTAGAAATTCTTAATTTTAAGAAATTCGATCGGGTCCTCTACACTGACGCATCAAAGAGCGAAACGGGGGTTGGTTGTGCGGTTGCTACTACGGAAACAGTCGTTAGTTCATGTCAAATACCTGTGACATGCAGCGTTCACACTGGTGAACTGTATGCTATTTACCAAGCCTTCAAACTCTGCACAACACCCAATCAACATATTGCCATCTGTACAGACTCCCTTGCCTCTATTCAGTCCATCAATAATCTATTTACTAATCACCCCTTGTAGAAAAAATCCATGACACTTACCAAAATCTTATCATCCACGACATCTATATCACTATCATATGGATTCCCTCCCACATCGGGATTACGGGTAACGACAACGCCGATCGCTTTGCCAAAGAAGCTGCTGTATCCAATTGTATAGTACGTAATATACAAATCGCCAGTGACCTAAAAACTAGTATAAAGAAACTCGTTCGAAATTACTGGCAGAATCATTGGAACCAATCCACTACATTTTTACACCAAATAGATCAGACGATTGAGCGGTTCGTTATCCCTGGTATAACTAGAAATGAGATGGTAGTTGCCAGAAGATTGCGTATCGGTCACACCAGATTTACACATGGTCACCTAATGAATTCTACACCTGAGCCAATCTGTCACTATTGCCAATCTCCACTAAGCGTTGTACACATCCTTGTGGACTGCCCTCATTACAATAAACGACGCCAAGAACTGGGCATGAAGGACGACATCACAGATATATTATCGAACCAGAGCCAAGTCATCACGGCTATCCAGTTCCTAAAGCTAGAAAAATAATATATAACTATAGTATATTATAATATGTAATTGCACCTTATATATAATTGTAAACAGTGCCTCGTGCTAATGGCCGAAGCTGTCACAAGCACGTTAAATTAAATTAAAAAAAATTCTCATTTGTAATTTAAATTATACCACCAATTTTGCCTATTTCTTAAATGAGATTGGGGACTTCCAACTATTCGCCGTCCCGTTTAAGTCGTGTCTTGTACCGACGTGGGTTCATTATGACGTTTCATTTTGGCAAGACCTTAGACCGTATAATTATTTTAAAAATATTTTTAGACTGCCTATAACATTGCCAGAGGAAATTCTCCTATAGAAAAATTAAACTATTGCTGGGAAGAATTGCAGAATGACGTAAACGGGTTACTTGATAATGAAATAACTCGTGGAGAAGGACAGGGATTGAAACAGGTAAGACTTTAGGATACATTTTTTGCTTCCAATTCGCTTGCTTGTAGTACCGGTTAGATGTGTGAATTGTTATGTCTTATTCTGTCCAAACGCTAGTTGCATAGATGTAAACCAGGTTAAGCTTATGTAGAATTTATGCTGTTATATAAAGATATAAAGAAAACGAGAATATCTACAATTACAATAAAAATAAAGGTTTCAACAAACACCTAATTCGAATTAATTAAGTACTTACTAATCTACTAAAAGTCACTGTTATCACTAATATCACTCGTATCTTCTAAGTTTTTAGTTAATTTGGTTAATTCTGGTAAATATATAACATAATCATTTTCCCACCAATTACATGTTTGATTACATTTTTTCCAGTTGGATGCTGTAGCCAATATTAACTATATTGGGTTCCATGTACAATAATAAGGGGGAAGTTTAAGCACGGTATGTCCAGTACTGCGAGCACAGTTATCAACAACATATTCCTTCTGGTACTGTCTACTGAATAAAAACTTTTTTTTTATTATTCGTCCAACTTTTTTTTTCACAGTTTTATGAGTATAATGCCAGGTCTTATCTAAATAAACAATATTTCGTTTCATTTTCGATACTAAGTAATCTGTCTGATATAATTGTTTTTTAAAGAAATTACTCTAGTACTTTCTAATAATGTCTGGCGCTTGTCTAAAGTCTTGTACTTAACATTATTGGCTTTAAGAAATAATCGAAGTGTTGTTGCTGAGCATGAGAGAATGTCCTTTCGAACCAATTCCCTTCGAAGGCTTTGAATAGTTAGATAAATATTAGCCGCATACATTTTGTATATTGTTCTGGTTATAGGTTCAATTTAGTGCGGTTCTATTTGTCTGAGTTTGCCACAAGATGATTCTTCTATAATCTTATAGCAGGTTACTTTGCGCACTCTGGTTAAAAAACATGTTTTTGCAATTGTTTCTGATTTAGACAATTCAGAACACAGTCCTTCATAAATATGTTTCAGGATACGTTTGGCTTCATCAGAGAGGTATTGAAAATGTCGCTTATGTTTTACTAAACAGCTTTGTAAATTTTTCAATTGATTAGAGGGTTCCACTGGCTCTTCAGTCGCAGAATTATTATCACACCACAGGCGCTATATTTTAAAAGTATCTTCGTAAAATGGTGAAAGAAGTTTAACACTGACGATGTCACAACCATACTCACTTGCAGTTTATTATTTGAATTTAACTGAACGCCGTAGTATGGTTATACTAAAAGTATTCTTGTTTCGCAAAATCAGCTTTCGTTGTTTTGAAAATAAAATATTATACCTCCTACCTACCCAAGTGCAAAACACGGGACGGGGCGAAACGTGATTTTTCCTGGTAAACTATTTTATGGTTTCGGTCGCTCAGGCAAATATCGTTATACCTTACCCGAAGGAAGCATAAGTTTGTCGATAAAAGAAAACGCATTATGATTTGTCATAATAGCGATATCGGATGTTTTGATATCGCTATTATGCCACGCTCTTGGTCCACGTGGACTGATCAACAGTTCGATGAAAACTTCAACTGGGTGACTGCCCATATTTTCAAACAATACCAGAAACATCTGAATGTAACTGTGGATAAGAATATTAAAACGTTATATTCTTATACATCTCAGTCATTGATAATTTTGCAGTTAATAACTCCTTCTGGTAGAGTACTTTTATTTTAATTGTTATTGCCTACTTTTATTGTAGATACATATATTTTTACACAGTCTCACCGAAATACAAGGCGGCTATAAGTATTATCGTATGTTGCGAGCAACATTAAAATTATCGTATAAAACGATAATTATCGTACAGCTGGCAACGAAGGATATTATTTTAAACAGTGTTCAAATCTAGATCTAAAACATTCGGATTTCAATCGGGAGACTAGGGGGAAATCAAAAACTGGTTTTGATCTCTGTCTATTAAGCGAAAACATAATGCTGTTATCTCTCAGAGTATCTTTCGTTAATTTTGTAATACTAACCATACATTTGTTCCGTATCTGCATAATCGTTTCTCAAAGAATGTATTTTCTAACCAATTCGAAGTAGTTTATAACTAGCTAGCTTTGAAATGATTATTTTCTTATATAGAATTTTTCTTAAATGGAAAATATCGGTTTGAATGATAACAGTGATTTTTTTTTATTTATAGATTATTGAAAAAAAAGAAGGTGTTATACGTATGTGTATGATGGGTAAACGTGTCAACTTTTCCGCTCGCTCAGTTATAACTCCTGACCCCAACCTTAATATCGATGAAATCGGAATCCCAGAAGCATTTGCTAAGAAGCTAACTTATCCAGTAGCTGTAACTCCTTGGAATGTTGAAGAACTAAGGAAAATGGTTTTAAATGGACCAAATGTTCACCCAGGGTAACGTATAAATATTTTACATTTACCTTAAATCGTACTCTGCAAATATTATTACTTTGTTGGGAGTGTTTTGCTTCTTCTTTGAATCATTTTCGACGTTTCTTATCATTTATTTACTTTTGACACAATGGTATCACAAGCTTTTAATTATATTATTATTTATTAAAGCAAACCAATGGAATAACCATTGAATATCATATGGAGGTACAGTAGGACTTTGAATTGTACATGATCAAAAAGAAGAGACAGATAACATTTACGTAGAATATTACAAATAATTGTGTATTAAAAAAAACACAGAAGTTAAAACACTTCACAATTGTGTATTTTGGTATAAAAACATATAAGTACTTAAAAACTTCTACACTTTTAAAAAGTTTTTAAGTACTTGTATGTTTTTATACCAAAATACACAATTGTGAAGTGTTTTAAATTCTGTGTTTTTTTAAACGATGGTATACAGCCAATTATGGGGTTTTTTCCCATTTTTTTTTTAATTGTGTATTATTACTAAATTTCCGTTTAAAACAAAGTTAGTAAAAATAGGTTCGTAATGATTCGAGCTCAAAGTTCGATATGTAGCTTCCAGTGCCCTCAAGGACACATTCGTGTCCAGCCCATCTAAGTCGCTGTGTTATAATGAATGTTACGACATCTGGTTCATCAAAGAGGTGGTATAATTCGAAAACTATATCTTTTGTGCCACTTCTCTTGATCGCTTATAGCTACAAATATTTTGCGGGGTATCTTACGCCAAAAGTCTTTCATCTTTCTGCGTTAGAGTCCATGTTTCCGCCCCATATTTGAGGACCAGACTCAGCATTGTTTTGTATATAATAATTTTAGTTTTTCTTTGGATATTTTTTTGAGTGGAATTATTTTTGGAGTTAGCGAGCCAAGGTACGTGAAGCTGTCAACACGTTTAAATAGATGACTTCCAAAGACTGTTTCTTGTTCCTCATTTGCTATAGGATCCTTAGTAACCGACAAGTATTTGGTTTTGGCTTCGTTGATGAATAGATCGAGCTGTTTCGCCGCCATTTGCAATTCTGGGAAATATTTCTTAACATCTCACTTGCTACGCCCTATTATGTCAATGTCGTCAGCGTATGCTAAGATCTGTGTCGATCTATTAGAAATAGTACCGCCGTTTCTAACGTTGTCGTCGCGTATGAAAATCTTTATTAGGTGCCGAATACTGCGATTGGAATTTACATGTATATTGTGTTAAAAACTTAACAAAAGACATATTGCATTCCGAAAACAAATTTAATATAAATTTTTATACAGTTCTGTGATATTCATAAAAACATTGCAGACAAAAGCCAGGTTTTCCAGGACATATATTACATTCATGGACTGTTTGCTTCCGGATTTTCCCCAGGCTGCATGCTTTGCATTCTTTTCTTTTCACCCTTTTAGATTCTTTAGTTTCCTTTTTTTTGTCGTTTCTTCTATTTTGCTAATAGTATGATCAATATTCGATGTATGAGTAGAAACTGTAGGTAACTGTACAATATCGCGCCCGGCTAGCAAACTCCTAATTATGTGTAACCGAAAATCGTACAAACGTAAATTATCAGACTGAGAATACTTATTGAATAAGAAATGTGCATTTATAAGGCTCATTTGCAGCACATTTACAAATATTTTGTTTGTACCAACGGATGGGTTTACTATCACGTGGATAATAAGCCATCATTTGGTCTTGCCTGTCTACTCCGGACATAAGCGCATTGTACCCAATTACAGAATCGGGTTTTTCTAATTACTGTCCTCGCTTGTTTCTAAAAACACCCATTTCACTGCCAAACTCTGTACTAATGTAGGGCACATTACGTTTGTCACGCCATTTTCCAACATGTACTCCAACAGAAAATGCAGATATATTCTCTCCCCGTTGTAAGTTTGGTGTCATAACCTCTTTTGGATTGTCTTTTCTATCTATTTTTAGAGTTCCAGTACAGTATGTATTTTTCTGTAGAAACTTAGACGCCAACTCAACACAATTATAAAAATTATCTAGATATACGGCGTGACCCTTACCATTTGGTTCTGTAAGCATGTAATGTAATGCCATACCTATGGCGCTTGTTCTGAGTATACTGCTTGAATTGTAGATGGCCCCTCCACAGCACCATAGCTTCATCCAACGATAGCTCTCTTCCAGCGTAATAAATCTCATTCATTTTTTTTATTGAAAGAATCTACTACAGATCTTATCTCTCCAAGACGATTAGTTGCAGGTGTTTCTGGAGTCGTAAAGCAAACAGCTCAATATTAGAAGGAATGTATTTCGTGCAATATATTTTCTAAAAACTGTTATGTCAAATAAAAAGTTAGTTTTCCAGTAGTCGATTCTTCTTCTGGTTCCTATCCGTTTCGGATGTTGGAAATCATATTGGCAATCATAACCTTACTCGCTGCGGCTCCAAACAGCTCCGTTGAGGTTTTCTTAAACCATGTTCTTAAATTCCGCAGCCATGATATTCTCCTTATACCGGGTCCCCGCTTACCTTTGACTTTACCTTGCAATATAGACTGTAGCAGGGAGTAACGGTGCTGATTTCTCATAACGTGTCCCAAATATTGCAATTTTATGCGTTTGATCGTAAACACAATCTCTGGTTCCTTCTTCATTTTTCCTAGAACTTCCTTGTTCGTGATCCTTGCTGTCCATGATATTCTCAGCATTCTTCTATAAAGCCACATCTCAAATGCTTCAAGTTTTCTAATAGTGGTGTCTGTAAGCGTCCATGCCTCCGCCCCGTACAACAACACAGAGAAAACATAGCATCTCAAATGTCTCATTTTTGTATCAAGGGATATGTTGTGACTTTTGAAGTTGGCGCTCATTTTGTTAAAGACCGTTCTTGCCTTTCCTATGCGGCACTTTATTTCCTGTAAATTGCTCCACTGTTCGTTAATTATAGTTCCCAGGTAACAATACTGTTTTACTCGCTCTATCTGCGTCCCATTAATGTATAGATGAGCCCCATTTATATTCTCCTTGCTGATAATCATTTGTTTCGTTTTGTGGGTATTAATGTTTAGCCCGTCATGTTGACTGTACTCGTTTATTCTGTCCATTAGCCTCTGAAGTCCCTCTAAACTATCTGCTATCACCATGGCGTCGTCGGCATATCTAACATTGTTTACTCTTTCACCATTTAGAAGGATGCCTTCGTCTATTCCGTAAAGAACCTCGTTAAAAATTTTCTCTGAGTACATATTAAATATCAACGGCGATAGGATACATCCCTGTCTAACTCCACGTAGTATTTTTATGTGATCTGTTTCTTCTCCGTTAATTTTCATGTATGCGGTCTGATTCCAGTAGAGTTCAGAAATTATTCTGAGGTCTTTGTCATCCAGGTCTGCCTCTTTTAAAATGTTTATCATCTTTTGATGTTGAACTCTGTCAAATGCCTTTTCATAGTCGATCAAGCACGCGTATACGTCGCAGTTAACGTCCCTGCATCTTTGAATCAGTACCTGTACTCCGAAAAGTGCCTCTCTGGTACCCACTGCGTTAATGAAGCCGAACTGTCTGTCCGATATTTGTTCCTCGCACTTCTTATAAATTCTTCCATGGATGACTCTAAGAAACAGTTTCAACATGTGGCTCATTAGCCTGATTTTTCGATATTCTTCGCACTTTTTAGCACCCTGTAGCCTCCTAGTAATCGATTAGACGACTCAAATGAATTGTTCCCGAAACAGAGCCAAAACTATTTTTAATTCGTCCACAGTTAACTGTTTCCAAGCTGTAATTCGAGATTTGGCAGATGTTTTTGGACGTAAAAATACCTCAGCTACATAAGAATTTGTATTATCTACCACACCTTGCAGGAATGTGTCGTCAAAGATCATTTGCAAAAAATCGAGTGGTATACCATCTTCTGGTACTGACACTAGTAAATTTTTAGTTTCCTTAAACACAAGTTGCCTTAGCTTACCCGTATTACTCCATTGTTTAATATTCGAACTTGGTACTTCTTGATTTGTAATATTATTAGAAATATTGCTATTTTCCTCGTCAGTCTCGGAGCTTGAACTGGACTCACTGTGATCTATATTCGGATTAAATTCATCACTACTGTCGTCCATTTTCCAAATATCTTAATAATTCTTCGTCACCTAACTTTTGTTTTTTGTTAATGTTTCTTTTGTAAATATTTAGTCTTTTATTATTAACACCAGAAGTTCCAGCTTTACTGTTCATTTTTAACCTCAAATTATCACCGAACCACAAACGAAAAAGCGAAACAAGAAATGCACGTGTAAAAATAAAGTCTTATCTCGGTCGCCTGGGACTGGAATGTGACTGGAATGGAACGCCAATGAAACAATAAAGTGTCAAGAGATACCATTGACTCCGATCGGAGTGGCCGGCGTCATCGAAGCTGGCCGATGCACTCCGATCGGAGTGATCGGCACTCAACCTGTAAATTAGATTTCGACGATTTATTTTTCAGATTGTAGATATATTTCTTATTAATTGCTATGTCAATGTTTTTAAAAACCGTCAACGTTTTACCTATATACGCTGCGTAAAATAAAGTTGTGTTTTTTCATCTAATTTTGCAACAGCCTGTGGAATGTATTAGAAACAAACGCTACATGTTATTAATATTTTGAGATCACTTTATTCTTTTTTCATATTTTCGTGAAAATATCATTTTGATAACTCTATTATCAAAAGAGAAAAGTATGATCAAATCATTACGTGATTTTCTACTCTCCAAAATTAACACACCATTTCAACTCTAGCATAATTTCTATGCTATTTTTCTTTTAAATCCTGGATTTTGGATTTCGATGAGTTTTGTTTTCGATTGCGTATCTATTTCTAAGTAATTATTATATTGATCTTTTCTGGAAAATGTCAACGTTTTACCCATATACGATGTGAGGTGTAAAAATAAATTTGATTTTTCAACTTAGTTTGCAACACCCTGTGGAATTTATTAAAAGCAGTTTAACGTTTTCGTAAAAACATCATCGATATCTTTATTATCAAAAAAGAAAAGTACGTATTTTATCGAATTGTAATACTCATTAATGTAAGCAGTTGGTTGGCTATGAAAAATCAAACAATTTGACATGACAGTTTTAGACTGTTAATATTGTTTACATTTCAAAAAATTGTTTTGCTATTTTGCGAATGTTGGTTTAGTTGACATGGATCGTATGTCAAGAAATCTGAGCCGAGATGAATGTGTTCATGCAATTACTTTAGCTGATGTAGGGTTAAACTATCGTTAAATAGGCTTAATGGTAAGAGTATGTAATACTACAATATCACGAGTCATTCAACGTTTTAGAGAAAAAAAAAACGACCATACGAGACAGTGTGGACAAGAAAGAGGAAGACTCACAACACCACGACAAGATCAGTTTATCAGACTTCGTGCTATAAGAGAACGTTTTCTCATAATGAGATATTTACAAATACAATTGGCAAATGTTCATAATCAAATTAATAGAAACACTGTACAAAGGTGTCTTGCTGAACACGATGTGCATATAAGGATACCAGTCAGAGCATGAGTTTAAAACGTAAATAATCAAAGAAATAGATTACAATTTTCCAGAGAGCACCTGGACTGGGATGTTGATGACTGGGAGCACTGTTGTTCACTGATTAATCGAGGTATTGCTTATACAGCTCAGATAGACGTGAAGAGTTATTTGACGGCCAACAGAACGGTCCGCACAGTGTAATATTACTTTATCTACGAAACCTATATACTTAACCCTCTTATTTAGGATCTGTAATGGTTTGAGGAGATTATCTCTTACAGCGCGAACGAACCTTGTTGTTTTATGAAGAGATTCCTTAACAAGCGAAATATTATATATATATATATATATATATATATATATATATATATATATATATATATATATATATATATATATATATATATATATTAGAGACATTTTGTCTAACCATGTAGTTCTATTTGCTTCTTACATAGGAAATAATTTTCTTTTAAATCATGATTACGCTGGAACACATGTTGCACGTGTGGTCCGTAATTATTTGGACGAGGTTGGAATACAAACCATGAACTGGTCACCCTGCAGCCCTGATTTCAATCCCATAAAGAATTTCTGGGATATTATTAATCGACAACTCAGGAGCCGACAGCCACCACCTGTTTTTCTTGACGACATAAAAAATATGGTGAGAGAAGTTTGGGATGCAATTGATCAAGACAAAATACGCCGCTTGATTTTAAGTATGCCTAGTCGCTATGAAAAAGTAATTAGATGTAAAGGTAGAAATAGTCGTTATTAAGTGTTTTTGGGAGAGGGAATTGTTAAAGATTATTTAGGTTATATTTTCTTAGGCTTTATTTGTATTAAATGTCAATAATTATGTAAGTAATGTTGTATTTGCTTTAAATGTTAATAAAAACTTGTTACATGTAAAGTTCTGTACAATCTTTGATAAGCGAGCTATCGAGATATTTTTTTACGAAAATCTTGAGAAAGGATAAATCTATCTCAAAATATTAATAAAATGTAGCGTTTCTTTCTAATAAATTCCACAGGGTGTTGCAAAATACGATGAAAAAACACAACATTATTTTTACACCCCGTAAACGGAAAAAACGTTCATATTTTTTAAAAAACATTTAATACAATGATTTGCTAGAAATAGACCTATAATATGAAAAAAAACATCATCAAAATCCAATCATTCCTTCAGAAGAAAAATAGCTTCAAACTTACGGTACATTTAAGGTGGTGCGTTAATTTTGGGCAGTAGGATACGTGTGTACTTCACACACTACTACATCACACTGGAGCTAATCGCCTTTTTTATGTAACGGGCATATCACACCTTGAGACCATTCTCATTTTGCCAGACAAAAAGTAAAAGTTTGAAATCTGTCGTTTTTTTTTATATTCAATTGACTTTGTGTATATGTATACATTTTCTTTTCTTATAGGGCCGTTATGATAGAATACAATGGGATTCTAAAACGAATTAATCCCAATAGTGAACAACAACAAAAAAGCATATTGAAATGTTTGTTAACTCCCGAAGACGTTAAAGGACAAAAAGCACAAGGAATTCGAATCGTAAGTATTTTGTGTCATATTAGTTCATTATTATTATAACGAACCAGCGAAAAAATGATAATTAGAGAAGACCTTGAAATAATCGTTCCTTAATTATGTTCCTAGCAGTAACGAACCCATAATAGCAACACGTGTACTAAATTAAATCTATATACTTAACACTCTTTTTTTAGGTTCATAGGCATTTATGTAATGGTGACGTTCTGTTACTTAATCGTCAACCAACATTGCACAAACCTAGTATAATGGCGCACACAGCGCGAATTTTAAAGGGAGAAAAAACTCTACGATTGCATTATGCTAATTGTAAAGCCTATAATGCTGATTTTGACGGGGATGAAATGAACGCACATTTCCCGCAAAATGAACTTGCAAGAAGCGAAGGTTATAATATTGGTGAGTAACATTTAGCTTTTAAAATCGTCTACTTACCGGTCAAATACATTTTTATTTAAAAATAGATTCTCAAAAGAATATTGCTATAAAATGTTGAAGAGAATATGAAAGCTTTTATGAACGCTGCGAATAAAGTCCTTCAAGTGGCCAATCAATTCATGCTTATCGTCGCAGACTAGCACCTTCACATATCCCTACATTAAATAGTCTAGAAGTGTTAAATCGCACGATCTTGGAGCCAATTCTCGGTCCGAAACGTGAAACTATGCGGTTATCAAACGTTTCCTCCAATAAATCAATTGTGACACGAGCTGTGTGACATGTTGCGCCGTCTTATTGAAATGACAGCTCCTGTACAACATGCTTGTTCAATTGGGAAATGAAAAAGGCAGTAATCATGGCTTTATAGCGGTCACCATTGACTGTAACGTTCTGGCCAGCATCCTTTTTGAAGAAGTACGGTCCAATGATTCCACCAGACCATAAAACACACCAAATAGTCAGTTTTTCTGTATGTTATGGTTTCTTAACATACATTTGAGGATTATCTTAACTCCAAATAGGACAGTTTTGTTTGTTGACGTAGCCATTCAACCAAAAGTGAGCTTCATCGCTAAACAAATTCGCTTATGAAATCGAATCAACGGCAATCTCGTTTGGACCCACTCAGAATCTACGCCTTGCTAGTTGATGATGTTCCTTTAATTCTGGCGTGATTGAATGAGTTGATTTTGTAAGCACGCAAACCAAGATTTTTCGCAAAATCTTCCATAAAGTGGATGGATACGTATCCAACTGCTGTACACGATGGCAGATAGACTGATTTGGGTCTTCCTGTATGCTACGCTCTAGAGCAGCAACAACTTCTTCTGTACGCACTGTACGACGTATCTGTGGATGCATATTATCATTTAGAGTAAACGTGGTGCAAAAACGTTCAATGGTTAATCGAATTACTTGCTCTGATGGACTATTATGTTGACCATAAAATGGACGTAGTACACGGTCCATGGTCCAGTTTTTCCTGAAGTGGAGATTAGCCATTAGTTGGTTGTTGCTAAGCAACAAGTCCTCACAGACACTTCGTCTAAGGACTAGCAACCTCAGTGGAGTCTTACGTGAATTGGATTATATTTATGGTAATAATATTGACAAAGGTTTTGATCTATAATAAACTTTTAATTTTAATTACAACCTAATGCTGCATTCATGTTGTGCATCTCAGCAAGTACGTTCTTGCTGAATTCCTCTTTTTATATCAAAATTCATCAATTAACGAGAGCTGTCTTGGATTGAGTGTTGTCGGTAGAATAGAGAAATATTCATTATGAAAACATAAGAGTTGCTTTTTTCGAACGCCGTAGAGTAAATTTAATTTTATTCTTGGACTATAATGTATTGAAAAACTAATCTCTGTGTTGTTTTCAGTTAACGTTTCTAACCAATATCTCGTTCCAAAAGATGGTACTCCTCTTAGTGGTTTAATTCAGGACCACATGATTTCAGGTGTGCGACTATCTTTAAGAGGAAGATTTTTTAATAAGTAAGTTTTATTTTTGGTCGTTTAAATATCGTGAGCAAAGCAACGATAGTGTATGTAAAATAATATTAACAGTCAGTCGGATGCAAATTTATTATTTTAAAAATTTTCTAAATTTTTTAGGAAAACCGAAAGTGAAAGACAAAGTAATCATTTAATGAAATCAAATTCTTAGTTACAACCTTAGTAATCCTTAGTTTACATGAAAATAATATGTGTAGGTGTGTAACACTTTTGCATTCAAATTTGAATAGTCTTGGCAGTCTGAAAAGTGCATAGTTCACATCTTCGTCTGTTTGTGTGTTATTTGGGGCTCATAATTTTTTGCGTAGTTCCATTATAATTGCTAACGATAGACCAAATGTCTTTATATATTGTCGAATGAGTTGACCAAACGCAAGTTCTTGAGAAAGTTGTAAATAACTTGTTCCTGTTTGTTGGTTTGGATTCCATTTTGCATAGCATAAATATTACTTTTTTTCCGCCAAGAAAGCAGTGGGAAAAAATCTAACAAAAATTTGTATTGAAGGTGCTTCTTCTTCTTTTTCAGCCTTAAGTAATCCAACTTTGGACATAGGCCTCCCCCAAATCAATCCAGTGTTTTCCATTTTGCGCCACTTCCTTCCAGTTGTGTCCTCCGATCTCCTTAATCTCATCAGCCAATCTCATTTGTGGTCTTCCTCTGCTTCTATTTCCTAACCATGGTCTCCATTGTTGTATTTCATGGTTCCATCTTTTATCCTTCAGTCGGGCATTGTGTTCTGCGAAGCTCTATTTTAATTTTGCAGCATGTTCTCCTGCGCCTTTACTTTAGTTTTGCTTCTAATCCATTTGGTATAACATTTGTTTGTTTTTTTGTCTATGAGTCTCACCCCGAGCATTGACCTTTCCATTGCTCTTTGTGCCTTTACCATTTTATCTATATTAGAGTGAGTGTCCACGTCTGTGATCCATACGTGAGTATAGGGAGGATACACTGATCGTAAATTGTGGTTTTTAAATGTTGTTCTATTTTAGTGCTTTTTAAGATCCAACTCAGTTTTCCAAATCCTGCCCACGCTAACCTTATTCTTCTGGTAATTTCGGCAGTTTGATTTTCTTTGTTAACTTTCATTATCTGTCCCAGGTAGATGTATTCGCTTACTGTTTATAAATTTATGTCGTTCAACGTTATTTTTCTAATGTTCGGTGTATTTGTCATTATTTTTGTTTTTTTTTTCAAGTTCATCTTAAGACCTACTTTGTCCGAAGCTTGAAATAGTTACGTCATCATGGTGTGTAGTTCTTCGACACTTGTAGCAAATATGACAATGTCATCAGCGTATCTCAAATGACTCAGTTTTCTTCGATTAACATCTATTCCTTTATTTGCCCAGTTAATTTATTGAACACGTCTTTCAGTCCAAGTGTGAATAGCTTTGGTGAGATAACAAGTCCCTGGCGAACTCCTCTGTTGATTGGTATAGCTTTGGTTTTCGCATCTATCTGTATTTTCATTGGAGCTTTCTTGTAAATATTATATACGAGCATTCTGTATCGGGAGTCTATCTTGCAGTTGTTCATAACTCTTCCTATTGCCCAAAGTTCTATGGAGTAGAATGCCGTTTCATAATCAACGAAGCCAATGTATAAGTTCAAGTGATATTCATTGGCTTTCTCTATTAGCGTTCTGACTATATGAAGATGAATGAATTTATAAGTACTGGTTAACTTTTAAAACCTCACATTATTCTCCTAACAGAAACGTGGCTTAATTCTTCTATCCCCGATGCTATTGTAAACATTGATAATTTTACTATATTTCGTAGAGATAGAGGTACTCGTCGAGGGGAGGAGTATGCATGTATCTAGCAAATGAGATTACCAACACTTTTTCCATCAGTAATAAAACAATAGACGTAGCCGGTATAGAAATTATCCACTTACTTATTACTAATAACTCTTTCATATTTAATATAGTTTGCATATACCGACCTCCGGATACAGTACTTATTCAGGACAATATGCTTATTAACAAACTTGAGGAATTATCAGTCCTTGAAAATCCATTGTTGTTGGAGATTTCAATTTTCCAGAGATAAGCTGGCCCATTATTTCCAAAACTGATACTATCAATTCCCAATTTTTTTTAAAAACTTTATAATGAACTCAAATTTATTACAACTGATAACTGAACCTACTAGGTTTAGAGCTAACAATAATCCTTCAATTTTAGACTTATATTTCACTTCTAAAGAAGAATCTTTAGAAGTATTTATCTTAATATTGAGGTTAGACTTCGCGAAACGTCAAACATGAAATGGAATGTCGAGACAAATGCGTTTAGAAGGTTTTATTTCTGCTGGTTATAATCCGCTGGTTACAAACACTAAGCCGCTTTGCGTTTAAAGTAAGTGCTGAGAGCTAGTGAATGTACCCAATAATTACGTGAAGAAACACACAGAAAGCAACATACAGAAATAAATCTCTAGGCAACTACCTATACTTAGCTGAGAAATAAAGAGTTCATAAGTGTATGTCCATTATAATAGACAAAGGACCTGTAAAGATTAGTTGTTAATTAGATTTATGAATTGTTTATTTTTCTGTATAATATTGTACCTATATGTAATAATATATTTATAATAATATTCATTTTTAGACAAGATTATGAGCAACTAGTTTACCAAGCTCTCTCGTACAAAACAGGTCGTATAAAGCTGTTACCACCAACAATTATAAAACCACAAGTATTATGGTCTGGGAAACAAATTTTATCTACAGTTATAATTAACGTCATACCTGACGAAAGGGAATTAATCAATCTTACATCAACAGCTAAGATTTCTCCTAAAGTAAGTATATACATTAAAATTAGGTATCCTCTAAATACGTTGAATAAAGAAACGTACGGTTGGTCAGCAAATATAGTCGGTTCGCTAATCCCAGTCTGCAATGTCTAGTGAATTTAGTAATTATTTTTTTACGAAGTTAGTTACTTTTTGACAGACTGGAAGTGCACCAAGCACACGTATTTAGTCGAACTTTTTCTGCAAACTTATACTAATATTCTATTATTCCTATCAGAAACTAGTTTTGGACGACCCGGGATTTTACCTTTTATATCTAACATATTTTATTATGTGTATTATATAACACAATATTGAGTACATTTTGTGAATATTGTTGATATTGTTTGTTTAAATATTGTTTATTCAGCATTATTATCATGACTTTAAAAAATAATAATAAATTAACTGGAAAATATTAAACGTTTATTGAAAATATTCTCAAGAAACTCAAGCTAATTGTTACCAAAAATTTTAAGTTGATTGCCTACATTTGGTGCAACTCAACGATATAAACTAAATTAGCCTAACTGTTATATATTTTTTTATATGTAATAGAAACTTACTTTCTTTCTACATGCTATAAATTTCTAAGCTAATTTGATTTTTGACGCTATGTCAAACTGAACTGGATGTTTTTTTTTTTTTTTTTTTTTATGGCATAGGCAAGTGCCATACAGCCAGTCACAACATGAAAATATTCTACCCAGAAAAAAAAATTGAGTAGTACAATATAAAAAGATAATATAAAATTCAAACTTAAGTATCCTTACAAATTTTAAGCATTAAAATTATTATTAAGGATAGGATAGGGATAAAACATGGACACTCGTTTCTCGTCTAGGGACCCATCAAGACATTGCTTTTAAGACAAACTAGATTAGGTCACGGATAAAAGGTAATAACAAATGGGGTAAAACAGAGGTTAGGATTCTAATTACAGTTAAATATTGAGCTTACTTTTGCAAATAAAATCCATCAAACATTCATTTACAACTCTTATATTTAGAGATAGCAGATAGCACATATTGTACGGAGGAAAAATTTTGATGTTAACTAAATTTTTTATTAGATCTTCAGTTTGTTTTGTGTATTTTTTACATTCGAAGAAAATGTGATTTAGATCCCCTTCTTTTTGACAGTCTGGACATAAATTTGAATTTACGATTTTTAGTTTGGACAGATGACTAGGATAGCAGGCGTGTCCAAATTTTATTCTAATTATGGATGTTATATACCTTCGTGGAACAGAATAATTTTTGAACCAATAATCACTTGGGATTGAAGGCTGTATAGAAGCATATTGCGAGGAAGAATGCGTACTATATGTATGCCAAGATTGTTTCCATTTACTATTGATATTATTTTTAATTATTGTTAATGCGTCTTGTCTACAGATTTGGTGACTAGCTTGCGTTCCGGTATCAATGGCCTTTTTAGCTAATAGGTCAACATGTTCGTTGTATTTAAGACCTATATGTGCTTTAACCCACAAAAAATGAACAACTCTTCGGTTTTTATAAATGTCATAAACAAGTTTTTTAATTTGAAAGACATATATATTTGAGTTATTACTAGGAAAATTTAAAGTTTCAATGGCTAACATAACAGACAATGAGTCAGATACTATTGTAACAGATGTATTCTGAGTGTTTTCAAAGTATCTTAATGCTTCATATATTGCTACAGCTTCAGCACTAAAGATTGAAAAACTAGGATTTAATCGATAAAGTTTTTCTGTATTAGTTGATGGAATGTAGAAAGCACATCCAGTACCAACAATAGACTTTGAGGCATCCGTATAAATAACTAAAGAGTCTGACAGACTAGATAAATAGGACCTCAAAATATTCGAGCTAACAGAAGAATTTACATGGTAATTTGGTTGTATCACAGTAATGGGTTGCAAGCACGAATAAAAATGTTCGATGTTAAGATTATCCTCTGATTTAAAGTTGTAATCAAAATTTGTCAGGCTTCTAAAAGCCTCACAAAGTGGAGGTGAGTTCTTAAGTCTCCAATATCGATTAGTTAAATCTTCTTCGTTCAATTTTCTGATATTTGAGTAGAGAGTAGTGTTACGATTTTGTATATTAATAACAAACTTTTGACTGAGGTATTCTCTTCTATAGCCCAAGGGATTTTCCAGAGCTTCCACATGTAGAGCATTAATTGGCGTCGATTTCATGGCACCTAAACAAATACGCAATGCTGCGTTTTGAAACACATCTATTGTTTTCAGAATATGTTTACTTGCTGAACCATATAATATGCATCCATAATCGATAATTGATCTAATATAAGATCGGAAAAAAAGCAAAGAAGTTTCCACATCTGCACCCCACCATGTTTTTGTAATTGATTTGAGGAAATTTAGACCCTTCTTACATCTATCTAACATAAACTCAACGTGAAGTTTCCAAGTTAACTTACGATCGAGAATCATTCCCAAATATTTAATTGAAGAACTGAAATTAAAATCATACCCATTCAATTTTACCTGATTTAGTTTTGGGATATTGTGTCGAGTGAAGATACTAATACTTGATTTACCTGATGCAATTTCAAACCCATTTAGTTTGAACCAATTTTTGGATCTATCATGTATTTTTTCTAAAGTTTGAATGCAGTTATCGTATTTTTTGGTAGAAGAATACATAAGAAAGTCATCAGCATACTGTATTATTTTAAAGTTGATATTTTTAATGAAAATGTTATGTAAATCTGCAGTATAGATATTAAACAATAGAGGGCTTAAAACTGATCCCTGCGGTAGTCCCTGTTTATTATAACGAGGACCTATAAGTTTATTATTGTTTGTTCTCAGGTAAATTTTTCTGCAGGAATAAAAGTTAAGAATAGTGTTTACCAATTGTGGTGGTATATGAAAATTTTTTATTAATTTTTCCATTAAAATATCGAGACAAACACTATCATATGCTCCTTCTATATCTAATACTATTGTCGGTAAATAAATATTACTTGAGAAGGAGTTCTGAATGTCCGTTACCAATGTGGCAAGTGCATCTATGGTACCACAGCCTTTTCTATACCCAAACTGCAAATCTGGAAGTAACTTCTTTTTATCTATCCACCATTCCAATCTATGTTTAATCATCCGTTCCAAAGTTTTCAGTACACAAGACATAAGTGAGATAGGTCTATATGAGTGAACGGAATTAGGATCTTTCCCTTGTTTGAGTATGGGGATAATGATTACATCTTGAAATTGAGCTATTACTGAATTATTCATGATTATATCATTAAATATTTCCAATAGTAAAGTTTTGGCACTTTTGGGAAGATATAGTAACATTGGATATTTAATATTATCTAAACCTGGACTAGTACTATTTCGATTTTTTAAGGCAAATTCCAATTCTAAGGTATTAAAAGATTCCAACAAAAAATGATATTGCTTATTGAAAGAATAGTCAAAAGTTTTGCAATTTTTTACAGACGGTGGAGCAATTTGATCAAAAAATTGTTCTTCTAAGGAATCGTCAAAACATTTTATAGAAGAAATTGGTTTTCTGTTTAATTTTCTAGCTTGATTCCATAAGCTTGCTGATGGTATATTTTTATTCAACTTTGAGCACCAATCAATCCAGCTCTTTTTAGCTTTATTTTTTAGAAATATTTTGGCTTCTGATACAAATTTTTGGCATTGTATATAATTGGCCATTGTAGGAGATTTCTTATATAATTTAATAGCTTGTCTTCTGTTATTCACAACATTACTACATTCATTATCCCACCAAGGAGGCGGAAGATGATTTTTACTAGTGAAAGGTTTAAAAGCAGGTATTGCCTTTTCTGCAGCCTCATTTATGCTATTAATAAGAAAGCAATACTTTTCGCCAGTGTTTTCAAATTCCATATTATTCTCAAAGAGAGAGTCTACAACATCTGTATACAGTTTCCAGTTTGCTTTTTTAATATTCCATTTACTTTTAGGTAAAATTTTTTCATTTGAATGGGAGGCGTTAGCAACTGTTATTAAAATAGGGTAATGGTTCGAACCAAGTGTATCTAAGAAAACAGTCCATGTAATTTTTTTTGCAATATCTGAAGAACTAAAAGTAACGTCTAACATAGAATCATTAACACCAGGCCGATTTAAACATGTAGGTCCACCAGTGTTCAATATTACTAACTCTAGATCATCTGCTACCATCTCTAGTTGCTTTCCAATATTATCATTTTTTTTAGATCCCCATAATACATTATGTGCATTCATGTCTCCACCTATTATAAGGGGAGCTTTTACTTGAGAAAAAACTTTAACCCAATCATCTGTTTTAGTTTTAGTTTTTGGTGCTCGATAAATTGATAAAAAATTAATCGAATTTTTTCCATAATTTACTGCACATCCACAAACTAGAATTTCATCATTAAAATTGCTAAGGATATTTATTTCTTTAAAATTGAGAGTATTTTTAACTAGAATGGCTACTCCACTATAGCCATCATCACGATCTTTCCGAATGAGGTTATAACCTTTAAAGCTGTATGCTACATTTTTTTTAAACCAAGTTTCGCTCAATAAAACAATATCTACACTTTCTTGTGATAAAAATTGAACAAAAGAATTTTTATTAGATATTACAGAACGTGCATTCCATTGCATAATCTTCAAGAAAATTATTTATTTGCAAAAGTACCCTCCAATACTAGGCTAATATCATGCTTAAGAGTTTCGTTATTTATATTTTTTATATCATCGATAGTTTGTATTTTATTAAAAAAATTATCAAAATATGTAAATAAAGATTTAAACAAGTTATTTTTAATAAATTCGATATCATCAGTATTTGTTTTATGTGGATTGGATGACAGTGATTTAGATGGACCGAATTGAAAAGGAAATAAAGGAGGTTGAGTGGGAGATAACGTGATAGGAGATCCTGCTTTACGTTTCTTTCTAGTGCTTTCAAAATTATCTATATTCCTAGATGTACTAGGTTGACTTAGAGACATATTATTTTGTACACGATATTTTCTTG